CTCTATATATATGATAGATAGATATCTCATTCCACTTCCCAAAACGTACCACACCAACAAAATATGTGTGTATATATATGTGTGTGTGTGTGTGTGTGTATGTATATATATATATATATATATATTCTATCTATCTCCATTATACTGGTTAACTGGGGTGTTTGTTACACGTTTTGTTACAATCCGCAATCAATGTCTGTTTTTGAATACAGGAATAATTTTAGTATCAATTTAAATGTTTTAATGAAAATTTTACTTTACTCAACGGGCTATGAGCAGGGACGTATTAGCCACGAGGCAAACAAGGCATTTGCCTTGGGCGGCATTTTTCAGGGGGCGGCAAAAAACGCTGCCCCCAAATGCCCAGGGCAAATGCCTAGTTAGCCTTGCGGCTAACTGACATGCTGGGCTGGCGGGCGGCGCAGGCTGATGGGCGGACGGCTGGCGAGGGAGCTCTTCCTCTGAGCGGTCTGCTCAGCTCCCTCGCGCACCGCAGAGTGAGGATGGTAGCCGGAATATGACGTCATATTCCGGCTCCCAGCCTCACTCTGCGGCGCGTGAGGGAGCTGAGCAGTCAGCTCAGAGGAAGTGCTCCCTCGCCAGCCGCCCGCCCGGCAGCCACTGGACCACCAGGGAGAAAGAGAACCCCAGCATTCCCAAAGGTAAGGAGGGTAAGGGGGGGGGGGTTAAATTAAAAAAAGTGTGTCTGTCTGTGTGAGTGTGTGTGTCTGACTGTGTGTGTGTGTAAGGTGGGGTGGGGGGTGCCTGAGTTTTGTCCTGCCTAGGGCAGCACAAAACCAGGATACACCACTGGCTATGAGTAAAGAAATCAAACTAAAATGGGAAATAGCTACTGTGAAAAAATATATTTAAGAAAAAATTACTCATAGAGGGCTCAGGCTGTTCGAAATGCCAACCTCAGACCTAGAAGACCTAATATTCATGGATGAATGGCTTGAACAGCTTGAAAATTGCTACTTGGGACTAATGAAAATACTAATTAACAAAAAAAACACCAGCTTACTATACTGGAAAAAGAAATCAATATACTGAAAGAAAAACTAAAACCATTTAGAAAGGGACAAGAATATAAATAGAACTCTGTTCTAATACAAAGTAAGATAGAGAAAGTCGAAATAGAGACAAGGCATATAAAAATTAAGAAATACATTGAGGATAAACAAGATTACATGAAACAGCAAGTCAGAACATACCATACAAAAAAGAGGAGTCTAATATTCTCCAAACAGAGGGAGAAGTCAAATAGGAAACTACCACAGACACCCACAACACCAACATTACACATCACGCAACCGCCCTCTCAGACAACACAGATTTGCACCACCACACAAACCCAGATCCCATCCATCTCCATCCCTCCCAAAAACCTACAGATTCAAGAAACCACAATATTACCAATCTTATCAACATTCCACTTCCCAAAACGTACCACACCAACCAAATATCTCCCCAAATTACTATTTTCCCCCCAAACCTTACCTTGCCACCAGAACACAGTCTAATACACCCACACACTATTACGCCCTGACCTAAACCTCAGAGACAAAGAACCACAACAACTCACTTCTTAAGACCCAAAACCCCAAACTGACAAATTTTGAAAGCTTCAATATCCCCAAACGAGCTAATAAAAAAGGAACAGATTTAACACTTTCATCTAACTACACTGACACCGAAGATTTTGAGATAGGTGCTTCCCAAAATCAGTTATACCAAATAGAAGAAAAACCTTACACCAGCGGGAGAAGAAGCAGAAGAAGGGTTTTAAAAAAAGAGAATGGGAAATAACCTAAACCCCTATCAACATCAGGCATATTCAATTTATCCAGTAAAGTCCTGAATGCTACAGAACTTGCAGTTCTAAGCAATGGTTTGAAGTATGCCCTCACCCGAAAGTTTAATTCTTTTTCCGCTTACATCGACATAAACAAATTTATGCCAGCCAAAATGATCCAAACATGGCTCAAAATTCAAAGCCGCCTCCCAATTATATGCCTGTTAACTACACCAGTCTGAAACCTGCCTCTATTTTTTTACCCCTCTCATTTAAAATCCAGTAGTTTAACAACTTTTGAAAAACTGGTCACAAAAGATTTAAAAACAACAAATTTGACAAATTTAATTTCACAAATAAAGGAAGCTATCGACCACCTAAGAAACGATGAAAGCATTATCAAACTCGCAGATAAAGGGGGAGAGCTAGTAATTTTATCCAAAGAAATGTATATGAAAGAAGCCCTCTCCAACTCCACTGTGACATCACAGTATACGAAAAACTTTTATCTTTTTATCGCCACATATACATGGATGGAAGAATTTATATTTACACCTGTATCCTTGAGTGAGGATCAAATCACTTCAAGCGCTATCAGAGGAGTCAGGTTTTACGTGTACATTTTATAGTTTTTACCTTCCCTTGCTTCATAGCACAACATATATGAAGTCACCATATACAATTTTTATTTGTTTATTTTTTTTAAGATACCCCCTACCACACCTATAATTTGAAGAATAACCTCTGCACTTGATCCATAGAAGGGGATTATTCCGCCTAGGCGCATACACTGGAGCTGTATTGAAGCGCCAGGAAAGAGTGAGTGCACATCTTTTATCTTACCTATCACCACTACAGTTTTAAAATACTACACTATGATTTCTTCTCTGGTTCTCTCCACCTATACCGTGTCTAAGATTACTGAAGCGCTGCACATACCCCCCTGTTTTTATTCATTAATTCAATGTTGTCTAATCTGTCAGCGTATCTAGACACCCGTGTCCAACCCCACGTTCTTGAAATGAAATCCTATCTGAAAGATAGCATGAGCCTTCTGCAAATTTTAAACAACTTTAAATGGAAATCAAACTATATTTTAGTCACCAGTGATGTTCAGTCCCTTAATACTGTCATCCCCCATGACCTTGGATCTGCTGCGATCAAAAAGATTTTAGAAAAATATAGACACCACAAATTTGAACAGATTTTATTTTAAAAGGTCTGGACATGATTTAAAAAAAACTTTTTCTGGTTTTATGATTCCTTTTATTTACAGCAGAAAGGTTACACTAACGTTTTCATGGCCGACTGGGAGGAAACTTCAATCTGATATAACTGCAAATGAAAATCTAATCTTGTTTTATATCTGAGATATATTGATTATCTGATTTTATCTGGAAGGGCACAGAAAATAGTCTTACAGAATTTTGTTAGAGTGGCTTTATGTTAAACACACATATAAGCACTGCCAAAGTCCAATTTCTGGATATAGAAATTTACATACTAAACCACCATCTACACACAAAACATTCTTCCAAAAAGTCCACACCAATACAATTATAGACTCCACTAGCTGCCACAACACTCCCAGGCTTAAAGCATCCCAAAAAGCCAGCTCACCAGAATTAAAAACAATTGTACAGACAATGACCTCTTCCAAGAACAAGCTCTAGATCTAAAAGAAAAATTGGTGGAGGAAAAACTACAATGGTAAAGACATAGACACCCTCATCACAGAAATCAGACAAAAAACAATTGTTAAAATATGAAAAATTGAATCAAATTAAAGCTTTTACTCTGCCTGTTGTTTTAGATTTCAAATGAAAATTTAAAAAAAAAACCACTGGGATATTTTAAAAGAGGATGACATTTTAAAGGAGATTTTACCAGACAAAACAAACATTGTTTTTAGAGGAGCCCCCAATCTTAAAACTCATCTTACCAAAAACTATTCTAAAAAAAACATAGTTATTGCCAGATAGAAGAGACTCTGGTTTGGAAAGTACCAGTTGCCATACCCGGAGCTAACAAGCGCTAGGAACCTTCGCACATATTGCAACTTTTTTTAACTCTGCTATAGTTACATAAATTACATGTAGTGTGTAAATAAATACATGGAAAGTTATGTAATTGCGTATTTTTATGTCTTATTTAAGGAAAGTTTTATATCAGCAATAGAAAAATTCTTGTCTAAACTGCCAAGTTTAAGCATTAAACTTTGACATGTAGTGAATTGAAATTGTGAATAGAAAAATAAGGCTAATGTTGAAGATTTAGAAAAATTCTCCAACTTAGATAAAATAACAACTTGGCTTTTAAAGTCGGAATTTTGTCATTAAGACTTACTTTACAATTTGGGATTTAATTAATAATTCTGTACATGCTTATTACATTTTTTATTTACTATATTTATCATACATTTCATTATGTGTAAAAAATCTAAATCACACCTCTGAATTCCTTGTAAAATTATTTGAACATTAAAATAAATTAATACATGGTTTGAGTACCAAAGTTCCTCAGGAATGCAAAAACATTAATATAATTAAAACTTCATATGTATTATGGAGTTTCAAAGGTCAGAGAAACATTTTTCATTAATGAAAGTACCTTTACAATGGACATTATTTGATTTTAAAAGACAATAATATTAATTGAACATTAATAAAGTTAAGGTCATAGTGGATTGTTTGAAAGAATACATTTTAATACTCCATGAACAAAATAAAATGGATTTTGGCTATTAAATTAGTCTTATGTATTTATTTTATTAACAGCAGTAAATAGCAGAAAATTTAATTTGTTAAATAAAAGATAACAGAACATGTAAAATTAAATGCACAGATTTTTCCATTTAGAAATGTCAGTTTGTAGCAAGCAAACTGTAATGATTATTTGTAAGGTCAAAATATTTAAACCAAGGTTTTGTTGAATTATGTTGGAAATATTCATCTGTAAGCATTTTTCAATCTGTTATCTTATCGACAATATCCTACGCACAATATTATCAAGGAATATTTGCCTACAATCACTCTCTTGCCCATACTGCTGCTGAAGAAGTTGCATATCAATGTAGCATCATACTGATCAGATGCTGTTTGATATTAACCCTGAAGAATAACACTACTATGTAAATGATAACCAACATTGCAAATTTTAACAATGCCAATATAAATTAAACAAAACATACAATTAATATTCTTACCTGATTTTTTTTCTTGAGGTTCAATAACTTAAAATCTCCTCGAAATAATGCCCTCTGCTTAGATCTTCAATTCAACAATAATTTATCTCTCTTCTTTGTGATAACTTTTAATCTGTATATTTGCAGTTTTGTCACTTTTCCATTAATATTCTGTCACACAGTTTGCATTGTGTACTGTAGCATCTCCTATTATGAAATGAATATATATCTTGTTCTTAACTCTCATTGCCAGTTTATACTATTTGACCTTTCGTTAATATTAATGTATCTTCTTCTCACATATCTTCTGTCTTTCTCTCTCCAGTAAACTATGTGAACTAATTATGTTTAGGTTCTTTTAAGCATCAAAAGTTGAATGGGACATTTTTTTTGAATGCAGATATCACTCACTGCTAGTTCCCTCCCACTTCAATTAGAATCCAGACTTGAAGATGAAAATGATAAACGTCCAATTAGCTAGTTCCTTTTGTTGCTTTTCAAGGGATATTTGAGCTGCCTAGTCTTTCACAGCTTTTCTTTGCCAGTCAGAGCTTAGAGAAACACCAATCAACAGGCTTGCAAACAAAATAAAATTAAGTGTTTTAAACAAAGCAGGGAAGAGAGTGAGATAAGAGAATGGATACATGACCATGGATCTGTGAGAAAGTATGAACAAACAAAGATATCCCGAAAAAGAGATTCTATGTAAAACATTACATGCATTTATTATCGAAATGTAATTTAAAAATATAGGTATGCATTTGATTATTTGTGTTCATGGTGATTAATGTATTTTGTACTTTCAGAATTAAAGGAATACTACAGTGTCAGGAATACAAACATGGAATGCAGGATTAGGTCCCCCAACTCCCTCTCTCCGGAGATTAAAGGTAAATTTACTTACCTTTTCACATGCAGCACCAGTCTTGCCGCAGCTGGCCCTACCTGGCTCTGCCTCATTGGCCATGATTATCAATCTTGATTATCTCAGCCAATCCAACGCTTTCCCATAGAAAAGCATTGGGAGGCTATTGTACATGCACGTGAAAACACTGTGCTGCACCAATTAGCATCTTCTCATAGAGATGCATTGAATCAATGCATGTCTGTGGAAAACTTTCACTTTCAGAGCGCCCAAGCAGATGGTTGAGATGTTGAACGACCGTTCTGCAACCTGTGCAGCAGTGGACTAAGAAGCACCTCTAGAGGCCATCTGAGTGACTGCATCTAGAGGTTTACATAGACAGCAATGTAAATTCTGCCTTTTCTCTGAAAATGCAGCGTTTAAAGTGCTTAGTCGACAGAGACAGGCTATAGACACCAGAACCACTACATTAGGCTTTTACAATTCTGGTAACAAAAACGTCCTTTTAAATGTTGGTCTGGTGCTGTTAGATTGTGGAAACACTCTTGATCTCGCCTTCACCAACCTCTGTACTGCCTCTAATCTCTCCAATATTAATTTTCCTCTATCTGACCACAATCTGCTGACTCTTGACATTGACATACCTAAGACCCAATTGACACCACTGTCTGAACATTAATCTCACAGAAACCTCCAATGTGTTGACCTAGAGCATTTCTCCACTAATCTCCAAACTCTTCTTTTCTAGTTCTGCAACCTCCTTCTACAATTCAACCCTCTCTTCTCAGCTAGACTTCATGGCACCTTCTATATTTAAACGCTGCAAGCGCCGCCAACAACAACCTTGGCACACCAAGCTGACTCGATACCTCCAAAAATGCTCCAGAACTGCTGTTGGAGAAAGTCTCACTGTGCGTCTGACTTTCTCCACTATAAATTTATGCTGAGCTCATACAGCTTAGCTCTTTCCTCTGCAAAAGTAAATTACTTCAATACCCTCATAACCACACTTACCCGTGAACCCAAACGACTATTTCACACATTTAACTCTCTTCTTTGCCCTGTTGTTCCTCCTCCACCTACTAATTTGACTGCCTCAGACTTTGCAATTCACTTCACTGACAAGATCTCTACAATCAGGGAAGAGATCTCTCATCTTTCTTCTTCCCCTTACAATACTTCCCCTAACTTTACTCCTTCTACTGTTCTATGTTCATTCGCACCCGCTACATTGGAAGAGGTTTCTGCTCTGCTCCAGTCCTCCTGCCCCACCACCTGCTCCCTAGATCCAATTCCCTCGCATCTCATCCATACTTTCTTCTCTTTCTCCACCTCTCACTAATTCTCAATATCTCTCTCTCTCCTCTGGCATATTTCCATCGCCCTTCAAACATGCAACTGTAACCCCAATTCTAAAGAAGCCCAACCTTGACCCAAAATCCCCATCCAACTAATGTCCCATCTCGCTACTGCCTTTTGCATCCAAGAACCTTGAAATAATTTTGTATGCAAGATTTCCAGACTTCAAGTCCAACTCTCTGCTAGACCCGCTTCAGTCTGGTTTCCACACTAATCCCTCTGTGGCAACGGCACTGACCAAAGTATCCAATGATCTTCTCGCTGCAAAATCTCATGGTCACTACTCTATCCTAATTCTCCTTGACCTGTTTGTGGCTTTTGACACTGTTGATCATCAACAGCTTCTTCTCATCCTCCGCAATATCGGTCTACAAGATATTGCTCTCTCCTGATACTCCTCCTACATCTCCCAGCGCTCTTTCAGTGTTTCTTTCTCCGGCTCTGCTTCTTCTCCCCAACTCCTCTGTTGGTGTCCCCCAAGGTTCAGTCCTTGGTCCCCTGCTGATCTCCATCTATACTGCCTCCCTTGGTAAACTCATTAGCTCCTTTTGGCTTCCAATATCATTTCTATGCAGATGACACGCAAATCTACCTGATCTCTCCCCGTCCCTCTTGACTAGTGTCTCTGACTGCCTCTCTGCTATTTCTAACTGGATGGCTGTAACGGAACGACTGGCACCCCGACTGGGTACCTTCCGTTGACGGATGCTCCTAATGCTTCCCGAGGGCTCCAAGCACTCCACCAGACACCATAACCACCGCAGACCTCACGAACCACCGCAGCTTGGTTGGGGTCTCGCTGTCTTCCACCCACTCTGGACCCAAGACCAGGATCCAGCTTCCAGTAGGTAGACCTCTCTTAGAATCTAGAGAACAGGAACAAGCTCTTACAAGAGCTTACTCTGGGGAGTATAGTGATTATAGCAATCCCCAGAGTGTAGGTAGTTCTCCAATCCCCCAAACATGAGCCAAGACTTCATGAAGGGTAGAACAGGTCTGTTTAATGAGCACAAAAGCATTTCTTTTATACACATTTTCCCCACAAGGTTACCACCTACTTGGACCTTGTGGAGCACAGGACACAAAGGACACAAACCAATCAAAACAATACAATAATGTCCGACACTTCCACATACAGCACACAATCCCTCCCCTCTGCCTGGGATATAATTAAAGCAGCTAATACAATAACCTAATTATCCACAGGCTGAAAACACACATTTTCACCAAAGTCCAGAAAACACCCCGAAACCTAACACATCCTCATGAATATATATACCTGGATAGCCCTGATCTGGGTGAGCAACAAAAATCACCCAGATCAGAGCAGGGGTTCAAAAGTTATATGGAAGTCACATTTGACCGACCGCAAGCATGACTTTCAGTTCCACAGATTTAGGCTGTGCGCCCGGTCTATCTTCTCCTCTATCCTAGAGATAATTGGCTTAAGTGGCTGTGGTAACTTATCTCCAGGTACAGGAAATATCTCTAAGTCAGAAACTGTTCCAAAAACCACATAAAAATACATAACTCTTATAATACAAAGTTTAACCTATATGTCCAACATATCCCCAGATAGCGTGAATCTGAGCGCTCAATATGTCCAATGTTAAAAGTGCCTTATAGTACAAGGAAGGGTTCAGAAAATAGCAAGGGCTGATTGGAGGGACAAAGAAGCCAGTTTAAACTGGTCTGGCAGTGTTCCTGGGACAACGCCCTGCTGGAGAAACAATAGGACAGGAAAAAGGGGGAGGGGAAGAGGCACATTTTCACATGGATTTAAAGGGGCAGAAAAAGTGTTTTCAAATTCAATGTGCTCAAATAAAGGTTTTAAAGGGCAATACATCCCAGGGGCCATAGTCACAGGACAAGAGGCTGGCAAGCAGGCCTCTCCTAAACCCAGGTGCTTTCGTCACAATGGCTGCCCACTTCCTTAAACTAAACTTGACCAAAACTGAAATTCTGGTCTTTCCTCCCTCAAGTGTTGTTACTCCTGTGTCTGTCTCCCTCCAAGTCAATGGTGCTACCATCCGCTCCACCACGCAGGCTTGCTGCCTATGTATTCTCCTTGATTCCGACCTCTCCTTCAAGCCTCATGTTCAGTCTATCCTGTCATTGAGTAATGCTTTCCTATGGGCGGCTTGAATGCGCGCGTGGCTCTTGAGAGCTGAGAGGCGGATTGGGGCGGAGAGATCCCCAGCGCTAAGGGAGTCCGGCGCTGGAGAAAGGTAAGTGCTTAAGACACATACACACTAGCTAACAGACACACACATTTACTGACAGACAGACACACTCTCTTACAAAACACACAATCACTAACAGACGCACACAAACTAACACACTGACACACTCTAACACACACACACACATACTTTTTAAAAAAAAAATAAAAAGGTAATCCCCCCAGCTTCCTTACCTTTTGGAGACCTGAGGGTATTCCCTGGGGTCTAGTGGTATCACCGCGCGAGGGAGCACTCTCCCCTGAGTGCTTCCTCTTCAGCTCCCTTGTGCGCCAATTACCCCTTAAGGACCAAACTTCTGGAATAAAAGGGAATCATGACATGCCACACATATCATGTGTCCTTAAGGGGTTAAAGGCCAAAATCCTCTACCCCAACTACTACAGCCTTTCCATTTGTGGTCTGGTGTTCTATGCCTTCGCGGCTTTAAAGGGCTTTAAAGTCGTTGCGGTGGCATAGAACACCGTAACGGCCTAAGCCCAGGGGAGGTAAAATTTACTTACCTCCGCCGCGATCCTCTTTGGGAGGGCTGCCTGACAGCCCAGACAGCCCTCCCCCGGCGAATGAGTCCCCTGGGGGCCGTGTGATCCCTCTCAAAGAGCGATCACATGGCCCCCTATAGCTGACTGTGGATCTGCCAGCAGGGGGGCTGTCTGAAATGTCAGACAGTCCCCCTGCTGGTGGAAAGTGTGTGTAAAAAAACAGGTTATAAAATACATTAAATGTATTTATATATGCATATATAATATATATACATATATATGTAACGTCATAGTGTATTTTAATACTAATATTAGTATATATATTAATATTAAAATACACTTAGAATGACGTTACATATATGTGTGTGTATATACATATATGTGTGTGTGTGTGTGTGTATATATATATATATGTGTATATATCTAATATATATATATATATATATATATAATTACAATAATAAATAAATAAAATATTGAAACAAAATTTAATATAAATGATATATTCATATGTAATTTCATTCTAACTGTAT